AGCTGAGCTGTTGATTATAATGTGATGACTTGTGGTTAACGCTGCTTGTTGATGTTGAGTTGTATCAGTTGTATATTGTTGTGAGTTGATATGTTAAGCTGTATCAGTTGTATACTATTGTGAGTTGATATGTTGAGCTGTATCAGTTGTATACTGTTGTGAGTTGATATGTTGAGTTGTACAGTTGTGTTGTACTGTGTGTTGATATTGAATGTTGTAGGCCGTAAGGCTGAGGTGTTGTAGGCCGAAAGACTGAGGTGTTGTAGGCCGTAAGGCTGAGGTGTTGTAGGCCGAAAGGCTGAGGTGATGTAGGCGAAAGGCTGAATTATTGATCACTAAGACTAGAGGAGTTGTTTTCGAAATTTCCTCATCCCATTGTGTGGATTGAGTGGCTGTGGTGCTCTTGGAGCCCAATTTGTTGAAAACCCTCCCTGGAAAGCTGACCCTTGGAGTGGTAACTTGCTATTCTCCTCTAAGTCTTAGTGGTCCCGTGTGTGGGCAAGGTCGAGGCACACGTGTACAAAGCGACCACAGTATAGGGCCCAGGTCGAGCTATACCGATTACAAGCGACCAATACTAACTTATATGCGTGACGACGCATTGTATGTTTTATTGCAGTTATGCTGTATGGCTAATGAGTTGTATGCTAATGATGTGAGATGTGTGTTTTTATTGCTGAATGTTGTGGTATTTTAAGTTGATGTTGTTAAGCTGGTTGATGTGCTGATAATTGTAGTTGTTTTCTATTCACATATATATATATATGTATGTTGTTTCCTTTCACTAGCTTACCCTTTGTTGTTTCCATGTGGTTTGGACTGCGATGATCATACTATGTATGGGAGCAGAGCAGTGATAGGTTGGTGGCTAGTGGTGAGTCTGCAGCTGGCAGGCGGAGCTAATCCTTGTTGATGTTTTGTTGTTTCGGCTACTTGGTGTAGTAGCTTTGGATGTATTTTTGTACATTTTGAATCTAGTCGGACTTGGACATGTATATATGTATATTCTAGACACTATATGTATACACTTGTTCCTTTCTGTCCAGTTTCAGGTGTACGGTGTAGTGTGTAGTGACCAGCCGGGTCGTTACAAATAGAGTATAAAAAAACCACAAAATAAATTATTATAAAAGTTGCAAACCTTCACATACTTTTTTTTATGCTTCAAAAAATGTAAAGACAAAAAAAAAAAGAACTACACTCAAATATGTAAGACACCCGTGACATCAACCAGCAAAAGGGAAGCAAGCTAAGTGGGGTTACTATCCAAATTTGAATACATTAGTTAAGCATGACACCATGCTTTATTAAGAAATCGACAGACAAGCTTATCAGAGTACATGCTTAAAGCTAACAATCTAGTTTAAAGAAGCAAAGTGTTAAATCTTTTTTATAAGTGAGTAATATAGATGAAAAAGATTATCATTTTCCCTTATCAACTTCAAGGTCATAAGAATATCTGATTCACAGATAAAGTTGTGAATATCATCATGTCAAGTTTTTTAAAACTCATATAAGATACCCACCAACTCCGCTTTGAGATTTGTAAAGATCTCACAACAAGCCAAAAAACCTGAAACTCATTGTTCGTTTTGGTCATGAATTATACCTCCAAACCCAACATTACCAGGTTTCTTAATGAACTACTGTCAGAGTTCAATTTAATGGCTGAAAAATTTGGTGGTTCCCATTTTATTGTTCTAACCTCTAACTTCCCTCGTCTTCAAGATTTTGTAGAGAATGTTATTATTATGCACAAAGAGGGATCGAATTTGATTGATGATCTTCCACATGTCCAAGTTGATATCTTTAAAGATGGTTGTCTTCTTTGTCTTTTATACACTAGTAATTATAATAGAGAATTTAAAAATAAAAAAATAAAACTTCTAAATTTTAGAAGACAAAAAACAAAAACAAAAAATTCAAAAAATAAAATTAAAAATTACTCATTTTACATTATTAAAATCATATTTAAGCCTTGTATCTTTAGAACAATAAACATTATCACTAAAAATATTTTTATCATGTTTTTAAAAAATTATGTGAATAAAATAAAAATAATTATTATTTTATTAAAATAAACTAATCCAGGCACATCTTTTTAAAATAAGTTAAATTATTTAGTAAGATATTTTTATAAAAGTATTTTCTTTCATAGTCAAAACCAAATGTACCTTGAGAGTTTCGGAAGAAAAAATTAGAGAACATAAAAAGATAAAGAAATAAATTAAACAAATGAAAATCTTCATTTTATTTGAGTGGAAAAAGTTATTAGAAATAAATAAACAGTATGTATAAAAAAATAATTTTACTTTTGTACAAAGAAACAGCATAAAGACAAAACGATAATAGATTTTTTTTACGGATTTCATATATAGAAAAGGTGTAAAATAATAAAAATCTACCCTCCTATAAAGAGAATATATTTCTGTAAAGTCCACAAGAATTCTTCGTCAAGCTAATTTCTATCATGTATCAAATATGGGTAATTAAAAATCTCTAATCAATCTCTATTTTTTATATTTTTCTCCTATTTTTACCTAAATAAACATAGCATTAATTTCCACAATAACATAAAACCAAAGAAATTGGTATGTTATATTTACTATCTATATTTTATCATATAATAAAAAAATTGAGATAAAGATTCAAGTTTATTCAAATAGCAGAATGCGAAATTTTTACTTAAATAATATTTTTTTTTAAAAAAATTACAAAAGTATCAACTGTGCAGGTTTATTTACCAATATAGAACTGTTTACTGTTCATGCTCAGAATTCGGTTCCCGGAGAACCGAATTCTGAGTTATTTAAATATTTTTTTTTTGTGTTTCTGGCCCATTTTGGGCAAATGTTGGAAGTGGAACGGCCCGTTCCGGAACCAGAACGGGTCGTTCTGCTTAAAGATACAGAGTCCTTTTTTAAAAATTAAAACGGGCCCTGAACGGCCCGTTCCATAATAAAAAAATTTAACATTTTTTTGAATCTGAAACGGCCCTGGAATGGCCCGTTCTAGAAGATGTTTTCAGGAAGTAGAACGTGGTTTGGAACGGGCCGTTCTGATTTTGGAACGACCCGTTCTGGGCAAACAGTAAAAAAAAGATTAAATTTTTTATTTATTTTTTTTTAAAAGAAGATAATAAAGTTAAAATAATGGGATATTAAGCAATAAATAGGGAATATATTCTCTCCGACAATATAATTATCGGATAAAATTTTAACTATTCAATCAATTTTATTAAAATAATATATTTAGACAATCACTTAAGATAATATCTTGCGTTTAAAACGTACAATTATCCCTGAACTATAGGGAATATATTCTCTCC